TTTTTATTAAAATTTTATATTGTATTATTTTTATATTTTTTATTTATATCATTTTTATTTTATATCATTATATTGTGTTTTAAATTATTAAGCCTACTCTTAAATTTATTTTTTATGATATATAAATATATATTTTTTGATATTTTGATATATATATATATATATATATATATTGGAATAAGGAGCAAATACACAAATACCATGATATCAATTTTGGTTCAGTATTTTTATGTTAAAGTTTGTTCACAAGAATTCTTAATTGAACTTCTTCAAGCTTCAATATCTTCTACAGATCAAGATGCACTCATAAGTCCAGTGTTGAAAGAAGAAATCAAAACTGTTATGTTCTCTATGAATAGTGAAAAAGCTCCTAGTCCTAATGGATACATAGCCCATTTCTTCAAGCAATATTTGTCCATTGTTGGTGAGGATGTTACAAATGCTATATTGCACTTCTTTTTAAACTGGGCATATACTTTCTGCATTTAACTCAACCATTATCACATTAGTTTCAAAGTGTGCAAATCCAAGCAGGATTAGAGATTACAGGCCCATATCATGTTGTACTATCATTTACAAGTGCATTACCAGGATTTTGGCAAATAAGCTTAAAAATATCCTGCCAACTATCATAAGCAAAAGTCAAAGTGCTTTCATAGAAGGAAAGAGCATCACAGATAATGTGCTTATGGCACAAGAGATGGTAAGGGGATATGGTAGAACCACATTATCCCCAAGGTGTGCCATAAAGATTGATTTGCAAAAGGCTTTCGATACATTGGATTGGAATTTTATCCATAACATTTTGGCAGCCATTGGATTGACTTCAAAATTTATAGGCTGGATTAACAATTGTATTACAACCCCAATGTTTTCTATATCATTTAATGGAGAGCTAGTAGGCTATTTTCAAGGTGCTAGAGGAATAAAGCAAAGGGATCCACTCTCCCCATATTTATTTGCTCTAGCAATGAATGTGTTGTCAAGAATACTAGATGAAGCTGCCAAGTTTGGAGTGTTTACCTATCATCCTAAGTGCAAGAAGATCAAGCTGACACATTTATGTTTTGCGGATGATTTGTTGATTTTTGCAAAGAGAAGCAAGGATTCAATCATTGGTGTCAATGAAGTTATATAAGCCTTTTCTTTGTTCTCAGGGCTGCAACTAAATTGCGAAAAAAGTGAGATATATGCCACAGGAATAGGCAGGGAAAAGATCCAATCAATTCAACAAGCCACAGGATTCAAAGTAAGCTTACTCTCTGTCAGATACTTAGGAGTCCCACTAGTCACTAAAAGACTCACTGTAAAAAATTGTGTTCCATTACTTGAGAAGATCACAGCTAGGATTAAAGGCTAGACTAATAAGTACTTATCTTATGCTAGAAGACTACAGCTAATCCAGTTAGTACTCTTCAACTTACACAATTATTAATGTAAACATTTTATATTGCCTAAGCATGTGTTAAAAAAGATCAATTAGCTCTACTCTAGCTTCATTTTGAAAGGCCAAGAAGGGACTGCCATAAGAGCTAAAGTCAGCTGGGAAGCTATTTGCCACCGTAAGTCTGAAAGAGGGTTGGGTATCAAAAACACACTAACTTGGAACAAGGCATGTATGACAAGGAATATTTGGTCTATTTTCTCAAAAACAGGATCTATATGGATAGTTTAGATTGAAGCCTATGTCTTGAAAGGCAGAAGTATATGGTAAGTTGAACCATAGTAGGGTAACAGTTAGGGCTGGAAGAAACTATTTCAACTCTGAATTATTGCACGCCAATTCATAAAATAGGAAAATGGTATTGAGGTGTGGCCTATCCCTAGCAATGGTTGTTCTATTATAGTGGTTTGGAATGAGCTAAGGTCTAAACAATGAAAGGTTGAGTGGCACAGACTAATCTGATTTCAGTATCATATCCCAAAGCACTCAATGATTAAATGGATGACTATACTAAATAGGCTTCCAACAAAAGATAGATTGAAAAATTGGAGAATGAAGGTGGCTGAAAGATTCTACCTATGTTAACATGGGAGGGAATCTAGAGACCACCTATTTTTTGGTTGTGAATATGCAAAAATAGTGTGGAGAAGGGTATTACAATCATGCAAGATTGACAGAGTAGTCGGGGAGTGGACTGAAGAATTGAAATGGGCAGTGATAAGGATAAAAGGCAAGGCACTGATATCAGTAGTATTGCGCATTGCTTGAAATGCTCATGTATACTATATATGGAGAGAAAAGAACCACAGATTATTCAAGAATAAAGAAGGAACAGAAGAACAAGTGTATAAGCTGATTAAAGAAGCTGTTAGGACTCGATTACATGGATTGCATTCGATTTCTGTTGACCCAGTCAACAAGATTTTATGTGATGTGTGGAATATAGATAAAGGTATATTGTATAATAGTTAGAATATGATTTGATTGCATATATGGAGTGTATGTACTGTAGCAATTTTATTGCTTCTTTAGGATAAATAAAATACAACTTATCCAAAAAAAAAATTGGTTCAATAATATTCTTATAATTGAATGAGAGGATATGAAGTTATATCAATATAAAATTAAAGATGAGCAATCTTGTTATATCAATGTAAAAGAATTTAGTTTTACATATGTTCATAATTTCACATATGGTTAATATTTTTACAAATCGAATGTTGAATTTAATAATATAATTATATTTATCGTGCATGTAAAATTTTAAATTAATTCAATATGTGTATCATATTGATCAAGAATACAACATTTTTCAATTTATATTTAACAAAACAAAATTTTTTATATAAAATAAATAGTTAAATATTTTAAATTAATTTGAAATTTGACGTGCATGATTTACATAAATAGAATATAAAATACAGTAATCAAATTAATTGAATATAAATCGTATAAAAATTACAAAATGGCATAAAACTAAATTAATAATTTTAATCTTAAACCCTAAACTTAAATAAATTTGCATTCATGTAGGTGGATATCTTGTCAAAATAGTTTTACATTTTTTTAATTATATATAATTAATATTTTCATAAAATGACTATTGAATTTAACAACTTAATTACTCGAACCATCGTTCAATCAAAGTTTCAAGTCAATTAATTACCCAAAAAAATTTTTCAAGTCAACATAATCATACTATATCAATAAAACAATGTTCCTTTTCAATATATATTTTAATGGTAAAATTTTTATAATCAAACAAAGGATTTAAACATTTTTCATTAACTTAAAATTTAACTTGCAATAACCACGTGAATAAAGAATAAAATCTAATATTTGAATTAATAAATATAAATGATTATATAAAAAATAAACTAGCAATCATAAATGGGTTTCTGTCAGAATATAGTGATATGGGTGTTCCACTTATTTGCAGTGTACTCCTAAAAAAAAATTGTTCACGTTATAAGATAACAACAAGAATTAGTAGGTGGGCAATCAAGAACTTAATTTTATATTATATGTATTTGCTGGAAAATTTAATCTGCAATTAATTATAGAGTACTTACCGTTTCCCTGTCATTGTTAAGCAGGATGAAGTGGTAAGGCCAGCTTCTCAGTCTCGCATTGCAAGGGGTGCTTCGAGACATAAAACAAGCAAGGATGGCCCAGACTGAGCAGACTTAGCAATTGAAAGGCTTGTTGTGACAGCATAAGTTGCTCATTCTCTTATCACTCGATTGAGACTTGGGACCATATCTATTTTCTTGTCCCTATCTAAACAGGTTTCGGATGAAATACTGAAATTTTCCTAGGTTCTCAGATCAGGTGGAGATTAGAGTTTTAATCTAAGTGATCATATATGCCATTTAAAGGAAATGCTTTTGGGACAATTGTGCTTAGACTGGCTGGTCTGCCTATAACAGGAGAGTTGTTTTCTGCTCTGCCATAGATGGTATGAAATTGAGATCTAATTGCCTCTCCACAGGTGCTAGTACCAAGGAATATAGACTGCACTACTGCTATTTCTTGCTGGCTTTGTATTGAAATTATTGTATTTTTATGAACTTTTTATTTGTTTCTGCCCAAGTGTTGGCAAACTATGACTTACAGAATGTATGTTCTTTGTGTAATTGAACTCATGGTTTTATATTCTGGGCTTCTGGCTGCTATTTCATGTGATGCAGGGATGCTTCCTAGCACCTTTAAGAAACATTGTCCAATCACTCGTCTTCACTAAAGGAGTTTCCCCATGCTTCCCCAGAACATGAATCAGATCAGAGTAATCTTGCTAATCAGATTCATCCAGTCACTTTTGCACTTCTAAGTTAGACAGTTTTCACTTCCAGGCTCATCTAAACTTTCCTTAGACCTGGTAAAGATGAGAAGATCAATCATGCATCTTTTTAGTTTTTAATCAGTTAGTACTATATATTTGATAAGCTTTTCGCATACATTGTTTAAAATTTGGGCTGATCAATATGTACCTTAGGCTATCTTATAAAATAAAAGTAATTTTCAGCTTAGGGTCCAAGTATCTGGTATTGATTTGATAGTAATAATTCAATCACATTGCTTAAACTGTAATTGGTAGTAAATAACTTGTTCTAGTATTTATCTTTGTTTCTGCAATCTTAGCTTTCCAGATCAATACTTTGGTTTAATTGCCTCTGGCCATTGTGTTGTAGGGTGACGAGAAGAGTTACATGTCCATGCCTCACATCAGAAGTTAAGGTTGCTATCAAGGTATCTATATCTTACACAGGCATGTGAAAATTGCTTGTTGCATGTTGCGTTAATTCACCCCCTTGAGGTCTTTCAATGAGAAATATTTCAACATTATGTCATTTTTGGACAGTTCTATGATGTATTGTTCAGCCCTTTCTTGCCATGTGCCAAAGCTTACATTGCCGGTATATGAAACTGATAGAATAGAAATTTGTCTAAGTTTGGTTAGTGATGCCTGCATTCATCTTCTTTGGCTTTGTCTTTGTCTTAATAACTGGAGTCAGACATTGAATAAAAAACAGGATCTAATGTTAGGTTTGGGTGTAATGATCTTAAAATTTTGCTTTACTGCAATCCAACTCCAGCTATTACTGATATTTAAAGTATTTGGGGTGTAATTGCATAACTCTGTCAATGAAAAAAAATGCCAAAAACAACCAAATTTCTGTTTCCTTGTCTCTGTTGACAGAAAAGAATTACACTGTGGTTTGGAATTGTCAATGAGAATTGCTGAAAAATCAATCACTTGCTGTCAAGTGTTATTGTCAATACCTGATAGGTTCTTTCTTCTTTTTTGAATGAAATAGTAAGCAAGCCCTCCCAGAACCAGTATGATTATTAAACCATCGACCACTGCAACGACAATCAAGACCCATTTTTTCAAACTAGGCTTGTTGTGATTGTCACGGGTTCCTTTTGGAATCTTAACCATATAATTCAATCCGCTTCCTCGTTCAACCTGTTTAATGCCTGCAACAAGCCTGTAAAGCGAGCATTCTTGAAACTTCATGGGCCCTTCTCCGGATGAATATAATGCAGCAACACATTTACAGTCATCTAAACACAAACTTGCACATGCCGTCTTGCTAACATTTACCATTTTTGCAGCATCTCTGAGTACACTACTGACACCATTTAGTTCAAGCATCTCTACCTCAGCTCCACCACAGAACTGTCTTGAAATTCCCTCATTGCAATCAGAACTCAAGTCATTTTCCTTTGTTAGAACCCGTATGCAAGAACAAGCATTGGAGAATGTGCATATGCCATAAGGTTTACATGCTAGAGGAAGGTCACAAGTGGAGTTGAGGGCTTGAAATGAGGCTTCAAATTTTTGTGTGTTAGGTGAGTAAAAATAGAGTCCTAAATTTCCCGTCTTATTTCCCAGTGCTAAGAACTTCAGGGGCTGAAGTCTCCATGATGCAATAATCTGCGCGATTTTTTTATGTTTATCATTGAATAACTCTAACCCTTTAGAACCCAATTCAACAAATGTGATATTTCTGTTCTTGGAAGGCTTAAATTCCCAGTAAGAGTACTTCAACTTACCAGAATTCAGGTAGAGAGCAATCTTGTTGTGTTGGATTTCAAAAGTGTAGAATGAAGTTGAGTTCCTGGGAAATGAAGTCAACCAAGTAGCTACATCTAGTCTCTGTCCCCAGAGCATTACATCTGTTGGAAAATTGAAACTCTGCCATTTTATCCGGTTCAAAACATCGACAAGGACTAGATTACCTGTCCTCAGGATTTGTAATCTCTGCATCAGGAGAATACAAATACAAAAACATCATTTAAATTTGACCATGCAAAGTCATCAGGGTAGTTCCTTTAGCACTAGTACTTTTATTTTACCTCCACACCTTGTCCAGAAGTCCCAGTTCGCCAACCTACTTGGTCTTTCGGACCCTTCAGCTGTAAATCTCCATCTTCAGTAAGCTCAAGCACGCATACATCAGAGGTGAAAAACTGGGAGTAATGTCCAGAATTCCATACCTTCACATCTCCTAGAAAAACTTCCAAGGAGCATGAATATTTCCCCTTGATAGCTTCAGCACTCAATGCAACTCTAAAATTTGGTTCCACCTGGTTAGAATCCATCAGGAAAGCTCTCCCAATAAATCCATCACTGTATTCCAAGGGGACTGCAAGGCTTATCCTATGGCCAACATGAATGGCTGAGTCACAACTTCCATGATTAACCAATAGAATCAAAATACTACAAAGAATGAGCTTCATGACTGAAACTGAATTGCAATTTTCACTTGTGGGACTGAATTTTTCTATCTGCTGCAAAAGAAATTCGTTTATTTTTTCCTTCTTTTCATGACAGGATTAAAGCAAGGAAAGAAGGAGAAAGAGAAAGAGAAAGAAAAGGTTGGCATGAGCCTGAGAATTAACTTATTGCAAGTTCCACCCCACTTCTAAAAAGGGACAAACCTTTCATTGTTGCACTGTAACTTGTGACACAAATGGCTGCAGGGTTATTATTGATGGCATTAAGGCAGGAAGGATTGTTAATTACTCATTTTGAGTCTGGTTAAAGTGCCTACTAAAAAGGTAAAGCAACAGAAGGTTGTTGTGCACAGGCTGTCCCATGTGAAGCCATTGAAGGTTTTTTATTAACATAAAACCTAACGTAATTATAGCTTTTCAAGTGCCAGCCAGCAAAATTTGGTCAATCCATTATCAACTGTAAGTCAAATTATCTGATTTTTTTTCCTTTGTTAACTACTAATAACCTGCTCCTCCACTTGGAAGACAAGAATCTTACTTGTTTTCAATGAATCGGATTTCAATATCTGTTTCATAAAAATTAAAGAAAATTTATCAATTTCTACATGAATAGCATTTTAACAACTTGAAAAAAAGAAAAAAAAAAAAAAAAAAAAACACTTGGGCAATAGATTAATTGTGTGAAAATTAAAAAAGTTGGACAGTGTTTGGGACAGCAATGAGTTCGAGTCACTCAAGTGAAGTGGGTCCCGCTTGATCTAATTAGGTTGGGTCAATTGGGTGAGTGAGTGAGTGCTGCCTTTTCGAGTGCGCAGGCGCTCCGTCCCTTTTGTGTAAAATCATGAAAACGAGTTCAAGTCTCTCAAGTGAAGTGGGTCCCGCTGGATCTGATTAGGTTGGGTCAATTGGGTGAGTGAGTGAGTGCGGCCTTTTCGAGTGCGCAGCCGCTCCTACCCTTTTGTGTAAAATCATGAAAATGGGGCTGGTGGTCACCACGTGTCATATTATATTGCGGCCACTTGGCAAGGGGCTTCATGCTGACAATCTTGTCACGCTTTGATGTCGTGTTCAACTTCTTTGTCAACAAAGCAATTGCGCCACGATGAGACCAACATTTTGATTGATATAAGAGAAAGAGAAGGAGAAAAGAAAGACAGAAAGGTGCTTTTTTTTTTTTTTTTGTACGAAAAAAAAAAGAAGTGAAAAGAAAAAATAATGCATTTTATTTTTTTAAATTTATTTTTTAAAATATGAAAAGAATAAATTTAATTTTTTCAAATCAATACTTTTATTTATAATTTTATATTTTTTATTTTATTTACCAAACACACTTTTTATTATTTTCGTTTTCTCTTACCAGTGTTTTAAGTATTGAGTTGGACATCTAAGCATAAAAGCCATTTAACTCAAATTAGGTTTGACATTGCTCACGACATGAATATTGTTGTTGGTGTTTTTGGCTTATCTTAATTAAGAGAAATGTTTTGGGCATTTAGTGGTTAAAAGGCTAAAGTAATTTTTTTTCATGTTAAAAGTTTTCAACAGATAATAAAAAATAATTCTATTATTTGTGTTAACTTAATATGTCATATAGATCTAATACGTTTAATGTCACATCAGCTCGATATTGTTTTTATTGGCACCTAATAATCCCTCATTGTTTACCTATAAATATGAAGGTCTAAACACCATTAAGATAAGTCTCGACTATTCCTATTTCTCTTTATTACTCTCTTTTCGATCTCATTTATTTTGACTTGCGCATCGAAGTATAAACGCAGAGAAAACCCTTTGCTTTTGTCTCTAATCATCCTTCTTTTTAGTATTTCTAAGATCTAACTCTGAGATCAAAACTCGACACAAACATCGGGTGCGCCAGGTAAGGGACCTTTTCATTCATTAGCCAAGCACGAAACAATGCCACCAAGAAAGAGAATCGTAGAGAAAAGAGAGATGGCCATCCCAGCTGGAACATAAACACATAATAGCCAGCACTCTAAATGACCCCCTACCATAGATAGGCCTGACCATAGAACAATTCTTGGCCTTGACCGAGCAGATATAGTCCCTTAAGCAGATGCTATAAACTATAACCCCATTACAAGTTTCAAACGTGCCCAACCTAATCATCTCTGGCTGAGGAACTGTGGTAAGACAACCAAGCTATAAGGAGCTAAAAGCCTCTTCGTCCTCCAGAGAAGAGGAGCATAACACTCCAATTTACTATTATCTCTGTCACAATTCAACACATACCACAACCTAAAAATTCAAACAGACAAACCCTAAACCCCAACTGAACAAAGACCTGGAAGCTCATATGCAAGCCATAGAAAAAAAGCTGAAAACAAAAGCAATGACATTCGAGAATGAGCTTAAGTTTCTGGAGATCTCACTTTTCATTGAAGAAATCGACAAAGTCATTCATCCCAAAGGGTTCAAAATGCCAACCTTGGAAGCTTATGAAGGTACTTTTAACTTTTTTGATCATTTGAAACTTTACAGGACTAACGTGATGATACAAGGTGTAGATGAAGCCCTGATATATAAAGGCCTGACCATCACGCTGAAAAACTTAACTCAATTTTAGTACAGTAGCCTGAAATCGAAGTCAATTATGATATTCAAATAGCTTAGACATCTTTTTTTTTTTCTCAATTTATAAGTAGTTGAAGAGTAAAAAAGATAACTTTGAGTTTGATGTCAGTCTACTAAAGTTATAGTGAACCGTTGAAGAGTTATATCATGCATTTGAATGCTGAGGCTCTACAAGTTAAAGACCTAGAAAAAATTATCATTATGGCCACTCTGACAAGTGAACTCAACGACAAAGAGTACCACCTGAAGTTAACCTTGTCATTAGAACCACCTAAAACTCTAGTCAATATCCTCATGATAGCTGAGAAATATATAACTATCGAAGCTACAATAAAAAATAATCGAGATGAAAAAGGCTCATCCCTCTTCTTCAGCATAAGAAAGTTAAAAATTTTTATGATTTTCCCTTAAAATGGAGATGACATAAGGTCAGAAGCTCTAGTCAAGAAAGGAACTACACTGCATTGAATACTTCCTAAGAGAAGATTTTGATGCAAATTGAAAGAAATCCCAACCTCAGATAACCAAAGCCATTGAGACAAAACACAAGAAGAGACCCAATCAAAAAGTGTGCCTTTTATAAGGATATAAGCCATAATACTGAAGATTGCATCGACTTGAAAAATGATATCGAAGCCTTAATAAAAAGAGATCAATTAAGAAGCTTTGTAGAGCAATAAAGATAGGGTCAACCCAAAACAGACTATAGACAAGATTGAAGAGAGCCCACCTTAAGCAGAGTGGGAAGGCCAAAAAATGAAAGACAAAAAGTGCAAAAAGATGAACCAATTCAAGAATAGGTCTAAACTAATAACAATAGTACGATCGTTAAGGTTATTAATATGATCATTGGAGGTAATTCCACCTCGACCAAAAAGAAGTTCAATGCAAGAATGATCATAATAATAGGTACCTTTGTAAAGAGAAAAAAAGATTAAAGAGATGAACATATCCTATTCGATCAGAAAGATCTTGAAAGAATCCAACACCCGTATGATGACACTATAGTGATCACGGTCATAGTATACAACTATATAGTCAAGAGAATCTTATTTGATAATGGGAGCTCGATCGATATCATGTATTATGGCACCATAAAAAAAATAAGAATTAATGAAGAACAGCTACAACCGATCACTACGGCACTAATAAGATTTGGGAATGATAGATACCTGTGAAATGAACAATCAAGCTACCGATCTCTTTAGGGATAGAATCGAAGACTATCACCTCAATCATAAAAATTTATGGTAGTCGATGTCCTATCAACCTATTACATGATATTGGATTAACCTAGCCAATTTGTTACACAATAAGCTTGGCTCTCCATCTAAAAGTGAAACTTTCAACACCCAATGAGGTTGAAGAGGTCAAAGGAGACCAGTCTACGGCACGACAATGTTATGTAACCATAATGAATAAAAAGACTGGGAAACAGATTGGCAATTTGACCTAGAGTAAAAACACTAAAAAAATACAGACACTACAAGCTAACAAGAAACATGAAATGTAAGACTGACCTAACAGAAGCGCATTTTTAAGTTGCTTCAAACTTTTAAGCTCTAGAAAAAAAAAGTTTTGTTCTATTTTTTTAATTTTTTAAGGTAACTCCAAAAACGACCAAGCTTTTAAGCTAGTGTAAACAATTACATGTTATTTGGACCGAGCTAATAGGCTGGCCAAAATACGTTATAAATGAAAAATAAATACTAATTTCATGACATATATATTTAACAAGTCATTAACAACATATTGATCATCACTTTGAAATCTGTTTTCGCAAAAAATGATCTCGACCTAACCGAACAAAAAAAATAATTAACCAAAAATTAAAGCCAGACAAAAGCTGACTTGAGCCGATTGAAAATTTGGTAGCCATACCATTTTGGGACAGCATCTCTAAAAAACACATATAGATCACAACCAAACTTCAACATAGAGATTAGTTAATCCAACTTCTGAGAGATAATGTTGACTTGTTCACCTGAACACCATTCGATATGTCTGAAATTGATACCAAAATGATGGTCTATAAGCTACATATTAATCCCAAAGTAAAATTAATTCGACAGAAAAAGAAAACTTTTACCCAAAAAAGATAAAAGGCCATCGAATAAAATATTAATAATTACTACAAGTAAGATATATTAGAGAGGTCTATTACCCTAAGTGGATAACCAATGTAATCATGATCAAAAAGTATAGTAAAAAATGAAGGATATGTGTTAACTCTACTAACCTAAACAAAGCATACCCTAAAGATAACTTTTCTCTCTTTAGCATAGATCAGTTGGTAGACGACAGTGCCGAGCATGGCCTCTTCAGCTTCATGAATACCTATTTTGGTTACAATCAAATTAAAATGCTAAGGGATGATAAAGAAAAGATAGCTTTTATCAGTGAGAAAGGCCTTTACTTATACAAGATAATGACCTTCAGATTGAATAATGTATAAGGGACCTACCAAAGACTTGTGAACAAGGTGTTTAGAAATCAAATCAGCTACAACATAGAAGTATATATAGATAGATATGATAGTAAAAAACAAGAGCTTGATCGAGCACCTGAAAGATCTTAAAGGGACTTTTAATACCTTGAAAAAATATAATATGAACGTTAACCCAAGCAAATGTGCTTTTGAAATCACGTTGAGTAAGTTCCTTAGTTACAGAATAAAGGCAAACCCAAAAAAAGTTCAAGCAATCCTAAACATGAAAGCACTTACCTCGATAAAAGATGTGTAAAGATTAACTGGCATAATAGTTGACCTGAGCCGATTCATGTCCAAGTTGATAAAACGATATCGTCATTCTTCAAATTTTAAGAAAAGTCTCTAACTTCAAGTTGACTTCTCAGTG